GTGCGACGTCATTGACGCCTTTTTCCGTGCGAAGCACGACGTAGGGATGGTACGTGAGGGTAAGTTTCCCCATTCGACACCCACGTTTTCTGTTCGGAAGCCAGACGGCAAGTGCGTATCGTTCATGCTTACAATAAGCTCAACGCTGCCATTATTCCGGCACAACACCGATTCCTAGAAAGGATGTTCTATAGAACAGCATGGTGGGGTGTAAGAAGTTCGGTGCACTCGATTTGGTAGATAGTATCTACCAATTGCTCCTGAGAGCGAGTGACATTCCGCTGACAGCGGTAATCACTCCTAGCGGAGAGCTCTGTGAGTGGCTGATGATGCCTCAAGGGCTGTCAAATGCACCAGCAACATTTAATCGTCTTGTCACGCAGTTGTTCAGGTCCCACAGGGCGTATGCACAGACATACTTTGACGCGTTTTCGTTCACAGTCGTGCGGAGCACGGGAGGACTGATGAGGGGAACCATATCGTCCATCTAAGAGCGGTGCTCGAGTGTATGCGAGCAAACTGCACGCCAATGTAGAAAAGTGCATCTTTGGTGCAGAAGAGACATCCTTTTTAGGGGGCTTCATTGGGAAGCGTGGCCTTCGAGCGGATCCCGCTAAGGTCGAGGCCATTGTAAATTTTGAGGGTTCCAAGGAACCAAAAGTACCTGAGTAAGTGACTAGGTCTTGCCAATTACTTGCACAAGTAACAGCGTAAACTACGCAGAAATGGCCCAGCCATTATCCAGTCTCAAAAGGATGTGGAATGGTGTTGGAACATCGAACATCAGGATACTTTTGACGGGATCAAAGACAGCTTTCTGCATGCACCAATACTGGCACTGCCACACCCTGATCGTTTTTTCAGCGTCGTCTGTGACGCTTCAGGCTTTTCCTTCGGCTGTGCACTGCTACAAGCAGACGCCGAGGGGCGAGATCGGGTGATCGCGTTCGGATCTCGACAGCTCAAGATTGCATAGAAGAACTATTCAGTTCATGACAAGGAGCTACTTGAGATGAAGTTGCACTTGCCAAGTTCAGGGTCCACCTGCTCGGCTCCAAGCCGTTTGTGATCTACAGAGAGCATGCGTCATTACACACTGCGGCTCAGTCGCCCCACCTCTCGCAGAAGATGGCTAGATCGCTATTCTTTTTTGCAAAATATAACTTCGAGGTGAAGTATAAGCCGGGAAAGCAGAATGCTCTTACTGAC